TGCCCTCCTTCCCACGACGCAGCCTTTCCCTCCCACCTCTGCCGTCGCGTGAGGAGCAGCACTGCCCTCGGCAGGCAACCCCAGCTTTCCCCCCCTGCCCCAGCCCCGTCCATGCGAGCCTGCACCACGGCTTGGCCTACCTTTGATGGTGCTGGTGGGGATGATGCCTTCAGCTGTGCCCCCGTAGCCACCAGAGACGATGCTGGTTTCGTTGAGGTTGGGCCCTGACACCATCACCTGCTGCAGGTCCTGGAGCAGAAGGAGGAGCGCAGGCAGCTGAGGCGCAGAGCCAAGACGCATGGCCGAGAGGATGGCACAGCCCTGATGCAGAGGGCCTGGGGCAGAGCCAGCAGAGCAGCCCAGCCTGGAAAGCAACACCCGGGGGTCCGGCACATCCCCACCCAGCCCCAGCTACAAACCTGCTCCAAGCCGTCGTCCTCTGGCAGGCTGCCCGTGTCCCCGTTGCTGCTGATGGGGATCTCCATGGTGGCGGCCTTGCTCATGATCCCGTCCGACATCCTCAGGGCCTGCAAGGACACAGACATGCCGCTGGAGCTCAGGGAGCCCCAGGGACTAGGCAGAGGCAGAGACCACCCCCCTGTGGCCAGCATCCTGGGACTCTCACTCAGCCAGGACCCCGCTGGGCCAAAGACTGGGCTGAGCTCCCGACAGCCAGGGAGCAGGCAGAAGACAGCAGGCAGCTGGTGGGCCGCTGTCTGCCACCAAGCAGCCTCTGCAGCCACGGCACGGCAGTCCCTTGGGATGTGCCACCCTGGCCCTGCCTGCAGCCTCCTGCCTCCCAGAAAGCTCCCGGCGGAGCCGCACGTCCCAGAGGAGCCAGCCCCAGCTCCTGCTCCCAACCCTGGAACGCAGCCAGTGCGTTCCCTCCCACCCCTTCGGCCCATGGCTCACACGTTTTGGAAATGAGATGGTTCTCCCCTGCCCCTCACAAATCTCTGGGGCGCAGCAGCAGTCTGTCTGTCCCAGCTGGGTGGCAGACCCTGCCCCGGGACAACCAGGGCTTTGCAGCAGAGCAGCTCCTGGCCCAGAGCCCAGGAGAACGGAGCCAGGCGGTGCACCTGAGGGGGGGGGAGCAGCGAGGGCCCCGCTGCGCCCAGACCGGTTGGAGCACATTCCGGGGCTGGCCGCCAGGCACCTGAGCAAGGGGCCAGATCCACCCCTTGTGCTCCGTTAGCTGCGTGCCCTGGCAGGAACAAAGCCCCGATGAACGGACCCCCAGGAAAGGGCCCTGGCTGAAGATACGTTGCCTCCCAGCACGCTCCCCTGCCCCGCTCTCCCAGTGCGATGCCCTGCCGGCCAGCAGCCCTGCTCCAGGCCGCAGTTGGGGAGCAGCCCCCACAACAGCCCCCGCAGCTCCAGCGCGGGGAGATGACACCACGGGAGGAGACACAGCTGGCAGCTGCCAGGACCCATAGCCCTGAGTGCCCTGCAGCACCCCGTGCCCCCCACCGCTCACGGCCGTGATGCCACGCAGCACCTGGCAGGCAGAACCATCCGTCCCACGGGGAAACGGCCAGCGCTGGTGGCTGCTATTGGCAGGAGGTTTGTAGGGCTGGTCCCGCACAAACCCGGTGGGGGACAGC